CCGTTCGTTTCCGAAGATTTGTTTATTTTTAGAAATCGTATCGGTCGCATCGTATTGCGATTATCGCATTATCGTATTTACGTAGGACACAGCGTAACAATTTCCATGATCCGATAAAAACTACCATTGGTTAAAATTATTGTGAGAACGCCATACCCGCATGTGGTGAACATAGGCGTAAATTGGGGGGGGGCTTGGTGGCTTAGCCCCCTTAAAAATAGTATAGCCCCCTCATTTTAAATCTTCAAATTTCAGTTTTTTGTTAGAAAAAATAATTCAATTTATTACGTAATTCCTAAGCTGGAAAGCACCGATAGGTATAAGATTATATTATGATTTATGAACGTTAAAGTAATAAGTAATAGATTTTGTATTGTAATAAAATTAGAAATGATTGAGTTAGATCAATATTTATTATTTTATAATTTATAACGACAACAATAACAGGTTATGTAATAATATGTTTACGCGAAGTTGGAAGTATCTTAGATTCTTAGGCCTTAGTGTCTATTAATAACGCTTATCATATCACAATCGTTTATATTTATGTAAAAACCCAATACAAATCACAAGCTGTTACGATTACGAGTTTACGACAACTGCAGAAATCATTGTTTTGTATGCTACGACGGTAAACACTAAACAGTGAATTCGGCCATGCGCCGAATAAAAACATGGTTACGAACGTCTATGTTACAAGATTGTATATAGAAAAAACCGATACCAAAAATATTAATAAAGACATCATTCTTAAGCAATTCGCAGAGAAACATAAATATATTATGTTAAAGTAATATTAAGATGATGTTAATTGTTATTACTAATTAATATTTGAATTAAATTATGTATGGTTTTATTTAATAAATAATTTTGAAGTATTTATATACATGTTTTTAAATTGTAAAATTTAGATGTAGATGGTGAGGGGAGGACAAAGCTAACATAGTAGGCTTGTTATAAATTTCTAATGTTATAAATTATAATCTTAGCGTTAGCCTCCCCTTCTAGCAAGCCAAATTTACGCCTATGGTGGTGAAGGCACTGTTGTCTCCGTATTACAAGTACGTAACAGCTAACAGCAAATTTAGCACAACACGTTTAGCACAGTTAGTTTAAAATTTAAAGTGAATTGACCTCTTATTAAATTTTTTTTATTTTTTTTTTTTATTTATAAAGTTTTCCTGACAATTGGTCATCTAAACTAAAGGCTAAAAGAATATAATATTTTGACGTTTTGAAAAAGGTTAACGTAAAATATTTACAGAATAGTAATAATTGATAATATAGAAATCAAACAACGTTTGATAAACTTAGAACTAATTATATTATTATATACAGAATAGGTATGTACAATTAAGATTTATTAAGAATTAATAAATGATAGAATAATCAAAACAATAGACAAATAATTAGCGTAGAAGGTCATGTGGACGTCTAATTAAATTTAAAGATAAGAACATTATCTGTGTTTATAGTTTTATACATTGGGCTTTTTACGATAATTCAATTTTTTAACAAATTTTGCGTATATAATAAAGCATATATTATCATAAAACACTTATACAAACTAAACTATCGTACAAACCCAACATAATATGAACAATGAACATAGAACATAGATAATGTTCAAATCATAGTTAAAAATCGCTTCTTTCTTAACTTACAATTTCAATTCTTTTTAAAACGCAAAATTGCAAATTTCAATATAATTTTTATTGATATGTGGAGTGTAAGGATGACCACATATTTAGAAGTATAGAAAAGCAAACACATTTAAATCCGCAGTAACTATAATATGATATATGTGTATTGTAAAAGCACTAAAAGCCGTACACGCCACATTCGGCGAACGGTTACAGACAAAATAATAATGACTGATTTACACAATTATTTGCATTTGATATTTTAGTCAGTCGCTATCATTACATATTAGTCTAATGTCTATGATATAAAAATTATTTATATTAGATCACTAAGATCACTTATTCTTTTAAAAAAATAAAAAATATCATTATTTTTATTGCATTTAAATTCGTTACAATTTTGTTATATTTTATCTTCGTAATGATTCGTTTTTGGCATACCTTATACCTATTTATAATTTTATTTTATTTTTCGAATACAATTTAATGATTTAAAATACCAGAAGCTAAACGTTTTATTGGTAGGTAAATAAGTGTATAAAACACTGCAGTCTCTCTAATATAGAGACTCTCTATTATTTATAAAAATTCGTACTGAACGCTTAATTTTACTGCTTTAAACGAAAAATTGTACGCACTACTATCCTAGAAAAAGCAACGTATTATACATATATCAATGTAAGTATATTAATTTAATAATGCAATCAAATAAAACAACAAAATTCAAGAAATACTCATATTAATATATTAATTTCTAGTAGCTAGCATGTTACGTAATTTTTGTCAGTGGACCGTAGTGCACACACGTTCAAATCGTCGTGCACAATGCACATTCGCGGTGCACATAAGAATAGGGCCTGATGAAGCACTGGCACTCCTGTGGGCCAAATGTCCTATCTTATTGATAGACGGGGACCGAACGTGCGTGGACTAGTTTCTTTTTTTTTTTTACGGTGACGAAACGTTCGCGATTCGTTGTAACCGTATCGCGTCAGAATGTTTTCACGAAAATTTGGGAGCAGTAAGAATATTGTGAAAACRCAGAGGAGCCGCCGCCGCGGGATGTAGATAAGTTTAAAATTTCAAATACCTCCGTCATGGAGTTATTTTACGGTTAGGTTAGGTTGTAATAAAAACGATCGCATGCATTCAATGTTCGTGTGTTGTCACAAAATAGGAGTGTTATCATCACATCGTGATTTTTCGGTTTACTCGTTTTGACTTCAGAAAGACTGTAGCAGCTGCTGCATCTGCTGCCTCATAGATTTTCGACCTTTGGATTGTTGATAACAATGAGAGAAGGAACCATGTTATCTATTCGACGCAGTAAATATTAGAAATTCTGTTCTTATTTTCCCTTCTCGTTAATTATACTGTATTATCAATTATCATTTATCATTATAGAATTCAATATTTCTGCTGTTTGTGTCTGATGTTTACTCTTTATTTTTATTTTGTACTGTTAACTGAATTGCCTTAACAGCGATTTAATTACTGAAATAGAATAGTATATTTATTAACTKTTATAATGAATGTACAGTTATAGTTTTTTTTGGTTGATGAATTTAACCAGGTAAGGTCAATTTGGAAAAGGCTATTTTTTTATCTCATACCTTCTTCTTTTCTTTTTGAATCAACATAAAATAAATATCAAATAGGTTTTAAGCGCTGTTAGAGCTCATCTTAAATTTTTAGTTTCTCAAAATTATTAATTATAAGCAACTTTCAGAAATAATATATCACAAGATATTTAAAAATGTTCCATTAATTTATCTTCATAGATACGTTTTTTCTTACAATTACATTGATTGTAAACAAAAAATTTAGTTTAACTCTATTTACCTACTTCTGTATACATGCATCAAGAGTAATGTCGATTTGGAATAAAATGAGCCAATGTGTGTGAAACAAAGTATAGTTTAACTCTAAAATTTTTTAAGAAGTAACCATAATTATAAATTATTATATTAGTTTAATTTCCTTATAATGATTGCTAAGTAGGATAACAATTTCGAATGAATCGGTTGAATCTTGTCAAGTAATAACATCAATAATAGCAATAATATTTATATTATTTTTGTTTAGAAACAGTTTTCAACATAATATTAATGGTAACATATAGAACTAAAACAATATATAAGGATTTATAATAATACTTAGTAAACAATTATTTCGTTTCCGTTAGTTCCCTCTAMATAGTTTTGTCTTTATAAATATTAGGTAAATATATAATATTTATTTAGTTTTATACTATTTTTAATTAACCATGCTTAATGTTTGTATTTATTTGGCTTAAGCTGTAGTAGTTACAAAAAACAAATATTAAACATTTATTGTAAGTAACATATTAAAAACACTATTATTATTCATTATTATTCGATATATTGTCTTATTGTCTTTAATTTAACTAACTACAGTAGAATCCACTTATAACAAACTTCAAGGGACTTAAAGAATGTGAATGTTATAACTGAATGACAAAAACATTTGCATGTGGCTTTGTGGGATATAATCAATCAAGTACATGGCTGAGAATCGTAATAAGTGAATTCTACTGTATATTTTTGAAGTAAAATTTTTAGTGGTATTTTATATTAATGTAGAAAGATAATCCTTTTTTTTTGTGTTAATTAAACTTATATCTAAAGCTGCTCATTTACATTTAATGTTGTATAATATGTACACATCTAAATGCTATACTTATTTAACATTTAGCTGTTATAAATTTATAATATTTTATCCATTTTATTAATTTTATAAGTGTTTATATGCATGTGTTTTTTTATATGTTATTTATCTTTTGTTTTTAACCTTTGTTTTAACTATTTTACTACCATAGTCAATTAGGTGTATGCAACTATACTCCGAGTAATTTGTATGTATTTTAAAAAAGTTTCTCTAATATCAGAAACTGCAAAACAAATAATGAACATTAACTAACTCAAATACTTAGTTCTTTTATATTGCTTGATAATTTGGACTATTTTGATAGGTATTTTTAGAAAAGGTATTATATTCATACTATTTATAAATTATGTACAGTAAGCTCTCGATTATTCGTGGTTTTCTGGAGAACTATTTACAGCAACAAAAAATAGATATATTTTTTTTAATATTATAATAATAGTTTTTTTTTCAATTTGTGTTTTCTGGATTAACCATAAAATTTGCTTATTTGTGGTTACTTAACAGCTTATTCTGCGGATAATTAAAAGATTACTGTATATTTTTAATTCCCAACTAAAATAATAAAATATTTTGTAATATTATGTTTCAGAAGAGTTAAAACTGGACACCTATATTATTTCTGAAACCCGACGTTTATAGTATTATGTAAATAAATTTGAATTAAAAATATTTTATACTTGAAATTTTTTTTGACCACATCATGGCTACTGTTGAAGAAATTGATGAAGCTGAACAACTTAGATTCTTAGCATTAAAATCAATGGTGAGAAGGTCCAGCAAGAAAAAAAATAATCCTAACACTGATATTGATGATCAGGATATAATGTTACTAAGAGCAGCTGCGTTAAAGACAATTAATAATAAAAGTTCTATCAGTAATAAAGACGAAAATTCTGTAAAAAATAACTTAATAAATGAAAAAAAAAGAAGTAGAAGTAGCCATGTGTCTCCATTAGCTAGTAAAAAAAGTATTAAACTGACTGATAAGAAAAATAATAATTTGGTTACCGATTTCACTAGCAATACTAGTATAGGAAATACCACAAGACTTTCGAAATATGATCCTCAACAAGAATATACAAGTAAGCATAAACTTGAATCTATTGAATCCCAAAGTAAGCCTGAAGTTATCAATAAAGATGACGTAAAAAAAGTTATAAGAAACGGTAGTATTCAGCTTTCAAATTTGGATTCAGAAAAGTTTAATGAAACCATGGTATTACACATAACATTTAGTTCATCAGAAAGTGATGATTCATCAAATGAATGTGATGTAACAAATGTTACAAATGAGAAGGTACGTTAAATATTAATTATGCTAAGAATATATTAATTTTTCTAAATATTTTTAAGGTATTAACGCAGAAGAAAAATATCAACAAAGATGCATTAAAATCATCAGTTCCAGTAGATGTTGTAGATAACCATGTTGAGGCTATTGATGCTAAATCATTAGAAGACAATAAGTATGAATTGTAAATTTTACTCTAAATATAGTTATAATAATGTTTATATTATTAACTCTGTTACACAATTTTCATCTTAAAGTGTTAAACTATGTTATTGCTAGTTGAAGATAAATGACATTGCTACAAGTTTATTGATTTAAGCTACCATTTTAACATAGTTATCATGTAAATGTATTATTAAAGCTTAAAATTTTCATTAAGTAAATGCTTCCTTTTTTATTTTTATTATTTTTATATCTGAATCTTAGTAATCTAGAATAAGAATTATTTTGTTCATCTAGCGTTTGTTTTATTTATGAGGTAGAAAATAGTTGACCAATCTTATTATTTGTATTTTTGAAAGCATTTAATATTATTTTATTTTTTATTGTTTGATTAACTTCAATTGAAATTGTTTTGGATTTGCTTTATTTTAGAAATATACAATACCTTTGATAATGATTAATGATATACACATATTTTAGTTATTCTAAGAAAATAATGCCAGTTTTATAACATTTAATTTTATATTTATTCACTACGCATGCACCCTTTGTTTAATGATTCAAATTTTTTTTTTGTCATTGGTTTTAGTTTAAATGTTTAAAAAATGTGTTGTTTTATTTAGCAATAGCACAATATTCATATTGACCATAATCATAACAATTTGACAGTTTATGATAAAAGTTGATATTATCAAAAATATTTAGTTGTTTATAGAATGGCAAATGTAATGGTCTTAAATAGTTCCTGGTACAACAATAGGTTATTTTTACCGATTTTTAGGGTGTTTATTATTATTGTTTTACAACAAATTATTTATTGTTTCAAAGTTAGTATTATTTGTTTTATTACTTTAAAGCAATTAACCAAAATATTTATATTCTTGTTATTTTTTGAGATTGTAAATACAATTGTAATGATAAACCATTATTATATGTTTTCTTGAAGAATCTACGATTTTGAAGTGCCACATACTAAAGATTTAATATTTATCCCTTCTGTTAAAATAAAAAAATTAATATTTAATAACGAACAACAATTATAGTTCAATGTAATTAAACAAGAATAATTACAGTTTTTATGTAAGAAAATGCATATTAAGATATACAAAATTTGCAATGAAAATTAAAGGTAAAAGGGGTTGTTTATGAAAACATTTTAGACAAAATGAAGGAATACAACTTGACATAGGTATTTTGTTTATAAAAGTTAGTTTTATTGATTCTAGTTCTGTTTTAATTCAGTCAATGTGAAATAGCATTGTTTGCTAAAATTAATTTATATTATAATGAATATGTTTGAATACAAATTAATATCATAAAACAGTAGTGACTAGGGCAGGGCCGGATTGGTCTGCCGAGTTACCAATTAAGATTCAACAAGCCACGACAAATTGGGCCAAATAAGTCATGAGGCTACTGACTGGAAATATATGTTGAGTTTAAAGTTGAAAAATAAATCTCAATATTGGACTTGCGCAGACCATAGTGTATAGTTGTAGGTGTTGTTAATTTTAATTTTTGTAAGTAAGCAGATAAAGCATAAAAAACTCGGTTGGCCAAATTTGTCCAAGCCGACCYTGGAATAGGGTTCCTAACCTTCCTAATCAAGTTAGTTATTTTTTTATTTACTTATTTAATTGTTAGTTTGCCACACATGCATTATTTATACAAATATATATTTTAACGACGATAAAATTAAATAGTATAATGGCTATTTAATGATACAAATACTCTTTAGCTAGCTGACCATAAGTATACAGTTTGCCACTTTTTATTAGTTTCAATGATTAATATACTTAAAATGTATTATAAGGCAAATTGAAAACAATGATACACGCTACATCTAATAATATTTCAGATCATTGCCATTGTACCATATTATTTTAATATATTAAATAAGTAAATCATATACATATTAATAGGCTCAAGGACTGCACCAATTTTACAATACTGAATATTTAGCAATATTTTGTATTATATCGGATAACAATAAAATTGTTTAAATAAACTGTTTTTCAGATCAAAAGTGAATAATTGTATGCAACAAATATGCATTCTCATGAGACATTGTGAATCAGAAATTGAAAAACGTAATCAACAAGTAGAAATATTATTGCAAGCATATGAAAAATATCAAAACTATAGTGAGTCATTGCGGTCCATACTTCGGGCAATGAAAACAGTTCGTGACGAATTGTCCTTATATAGTTCTGATAACCATTAGTATAATTGAAGCCTAAGTTTAAATTCATAATAACTAAAAAAATATTATATGGTTACATTTGTATTTGTTTTTATTTAGTATTTTAAATTGTACTACTCGTTTTTATCCAACTACATGCAAATTAAGTATGGCTGTGTATTGTGATTAACAAAATCATAACTGTCATTGTAAATAGCTATTTTGAATATAATAAATTATGTATAGATTCCAAGTTACAAATTATATTTTCATTAACATAAGTGTATCTTATGGAGGTTAGGATTTTGAATATTTAAAATGTTGTATATAATATGTTAAATAAATATTGAGTATTAATCTGTAAAATAATGATGGCCATTGTCTGTAAATAAATAACATTAGTTAAATTATTTAACACCTTATGTTTTTTTTTTTAACTCATCAAAAGGTCAACTGTAATATTTAACAATGTACAATGTATACAAATACCAAATCACCTATTTTTTAAATCATAAAATTACCTAAACCTTTTGTATTCTAACAACAAAGGAAAACTTCATGCTAGTTGGGATACTTTTGATAATATTAATCATTAGAGACCAGATAATTATGTTTCAATAATTAATCTATAAATAAGATATTTTATTATGCAATAGACATAAAGAGATATTCTATTAATATTCTTTGACTTAAAATATAAAATTTTACATAAAAAAATATTATTTATACTATGATTAAATTGTTAAAAATTTAGTTAATCTACCTTCAACAAATATATTTTATTTTGTTTAAAAATATGCATTTTTATGCAAGATAAAATATTATATGTACAATCGTTGATAAATGAAATTACTAGAAACCCTTTACAAATGATACTGTCTAATCTTAGTTACATCATAAAAATCATGTCGGTAATTATCACACAAACTATTATTAAGATTTGTTAATCTATTAGCGACTTGTGTAGTGTTTAACTCAGCAAGCACGCCCGCAGGATAAAATCCCACCCGGGACAAGATTAAAATTCTAAAACCAATTCAAAAAGATTATTTTAAATTTTAATATATTGCTAGTCTCTTCATTCTAAAATAGCATAACATGAATATAAAAAAAACAACATTATGTCATCACGTAAGTCCCTTACATGTGTAGGTTTACAATACAATATTAATATTTTTTTAATACAATATGTTAATGTAGATGTTATAAATTAATAATATTTATATTAATTATCAGATAAAAGTTGAATGCGTCTTGGTTACATACAAAATGATTGTATAACGTCTTCAATAATTTTTTGTTTTTGCCTGTTTAAACAATGCTTTTGATATGCGTGACATTAAAAATTAACAATAGTTTTAAAATATTCCCAGTAGCCAGTAGGGGCAATAGCCCTTGGGCTCACTCCTGTGGGCGCCCTTGTAACTGAATGGCGTGCTGAACAGCTAGTTTTTGAGGCAACTGCCTCAGGGAAAATATTGGTGGGTGGGTGGATGGGTTACTAAGTGTGCCAACTGGGCACTAGTTTGATCGTACATTTTAAATATATAAATGTATACAATTTTTTATCAAGTKAAAAAATTGATGGTTGTCAAATTGTATAGTTTGCCTCAGGCCTGAAAAATGTTCTGCACGCCACTGGTATAACTAACCATTGTTTGTTATAACAATCAATAAATCATATTATATTATTTCTTTGCAAGTCTCATTACATTATCATTAATCTGTTTCTGCTGTAAATTTGACTTATGAATTGTAGTATACATACATATTTAAAATTAACTACAGCTGTCTATAGTTCACAGTTAAGCTTTATTTATTTTCTTTCACTTTAAATGCTTTAATTTTGTTCACATCTAAGGTTAACATAAAGATGGTAGACATTTTGTTCAATATGACAATCATGCTTCGACAACTAACTAATGCGCATTGGCGTGGTATATTTCAGTTAAAATGTACCACTGGTCAACTCTGTGGAGTAAGCTCTGACCGTAGTGAATAAAAGCTGGTCATTGCCGAGGTACAATTTTGAATAGAATATAGAGACTAAAATCCTGAGCATAAGCCAAAAAAATGTCCAATTATAGCATTTATTTGTAGGCTATTTGAACTAATGAACGAATAATTGGTAAAAATAATTATTAAGTATAAATAATTTATACACTTACCTATTTGGTGAAATTTCTGTTACTATTAAATGTAACAGAATCATAATCGCTAGTTAAATACCATGTTTACAAGCATATTATACATACCACTTATACATAACAATTAACTAGTAAAATTTTTCCTTACTACGTAAAATATGACCCACAATTTTTTAAAGGCATATTATTAAGCTGAAGATCATATCATTATTATAGTTTGAATTGATCATATATTTAAAAAATAGTTCTATTTTTATTTTCATTATTTAAACTCATAAGATATTAAATATGTAATCATTAATTTAAAAAAAACATMAATAACATATTATTTAAGCTATTAAACATTCATAATTATATCACTTAATATAAAACAGTTAGGTACTCTTTTATTTAAAAAATATGTTTTTTTATTTTTATAAATATATGGTATCTAAAAGTAAGAGAGGTATTTTCCTTAACACAATTATTTTCTTCTTCTAAAATGGTGAAGAAAATAATTTTTCACTTCAATAAGCTATTTTAATAAAATACAATTCCAATAAAAAAATTTTAGAATATTTTCAGGTAGATATTAAGACAAGCTTATAAAAATAGGAACAGAAAGACACACAAATAATTATTATAAAGGATATAAATTATATTTTTGATTACTACACAAAAGATTAACTTACTGGATTATGGTTTAATTAATAGAGCAATACACAGGATGACTGAAGGATAAACTAAACAGTAAATAAATAAATTACTAAATCATTATAAATTAGATATTGTAGTTTATTACGCATTSATTTATATGTAAAATATTAATATATTTTTAACTACACAAAAGTTTAATTTTTAGATTATTGTTGTTATTTTATGCAAACGAATGATTTTATAAAAATTACAATTATGATATTTTATTACTTTATTTGTACAATTAGAGCTCTAATAGTTAAAATAAGATCCCCAGGACTAGAAAATTTAACAATTAAAAATGTTTAATTAAATKAGCAGATCGAAAATGTATGGAAAAAATGTAGTTAATATTATTTAGTTTCTTTATTAAAAATATAAAAATGTATAGTATATTATGGAAAGCCAAAGAGAAAAAATGTTGCTTTTATATTCTTACATACAATAATTTTCAATGATCAATTGTATCTATTTATTATAAACACAATAAAGATGAAAATCAAAACTGGTTGACTTGAAATATTATTATTAACATACAAAGCTTAAGAATAACATTACAGTTTATTATAGTTTATACACATATTAATATCATTTGATTTTTTTTTTTAAATAACCATAATAATTTAGAGTAAAATAATTTTGATCTTAAAAATTAACTGATAAATATTCAATACTCCTTAATCAAAATGATAATATAATATGCATATTTATTTATATTACTTACTAATTTAAAAAACATACTCAAAATAAAATATTGTTTATTTAGAATTATAATTTCATGACTTATTATTTAAAATGATAGTTAAAAATATAGTAATTACTAAATTAAATACAAATTTTAAAAATGCTTATTACTGGGGATATAATTTTCTTTTTTTTCTTACAAGAACAAGACTTAAAATTTTAACATGGCTTCAGTACAGTACAATATTTGTGTATTATTTAAACCTATTGATTTGAATAGTATAAATCAAAGTAGAATTATTTAATAGAATCCATTTATCATAATTTAATAAACATTGCATGGTAGTCTTGTTCTTGGTGAACTTCTTGTTATATTTTTCGTTGCACTGTAAATAATTACTTTGATGTAATAATTAAAATGAGCAATTATTTTTAAATAATAAAAATTAAAAATTGAAAACAACATTTTATGAGTAAAAGATATGAGAATAATCTATTCCACAAATCTACCTACTCAGTTTTWTTTTATTTTTAGTAAGTTTTATAAATAATATCTATTAAAAATTAATTTATCAATAGATATGATGTTGTACTTGAGAATATTAGAAATAAGATAGGTATGAATAGAAAAATTATCAAAGCAAACAGTATTCTAAACTAGTTAGTTTAAATCCATATCTGAATAAGTTTATGTAAATGTAAATGCAACATAAATATAATAAATTAAAAGAAGTTGATTTAAGTAGTATCACATCTGTCTTTTATTATCATAATTGAAAGTGTGGTTCCACTTACATCCTTTTAATAACCATGGGCAACTAAATGATCTCCAAGTTTTTCAACTACCAATGCAGCTTGTTGCGGTTGAACCGGGTCTTCATACAACGATACAACAATCGCTGTAAATTAAAAAAAAAAAAATTAAGATTTAAAAACTAACATATTATATAAATTAAGAGTCGATATCCTTTTTAATGATAAGGGCCAATATTTTGAATATATCTTGTTTTATATCTAACAAAAATGTAGTCACATAAATTCAGTTTGAAGTTCATAAATGTTAGTTTTATTAATTTAATAAGGTCTCTATGAACAAACAACATTTTAGTTCACAGTTTTCAATCTATACTAATAAGTTTGTAATTTTTATACAAATTATAAAATTTAAATGAGGGCCGCATATAGCCTGGGAGTTGCTGACTTCTGATACAGATAAAAAGATACTTGGCAAAAATTTCAATACAATTAATTTAATTCTCATTTAAATCTAATTTTTAAACTTTTAAAGTAATACATTTTATGAAGACTTAAAATTAAAAACTTCTTTACATTATTTGAAAATTATTATTTCAATATTTTTCCATATTATATAATATTTATAAATCCTGACTTCTAAAATAATACTATAATTGACCATGAAAACTTAAGAGATAAATGCTCACTTAAATGGACATCTGGATAATTTGAGTAGGTATAAAATATGAAAACAAAATAATGTAACGGCCACAATAAGAAGGAATAAAATAGCTAATGAAAGTTATCATAAAGAAGGAAGTTTATGTTAGTACAAAAAAAAAAAAAGTATGGATAAAATAATTTTGACAGTTAACATTATTTTGTGGCAGAGAAATTAATGTGTACCCATGTTGTCAATGCTGACACAATAAAACAAAAACAATATATATATATATATATATATAACATTTTTAATTTAAAATATTCTGAATACAATAATTTAATTGATAACTTACTTTGTTGAGTCTTCACACAATGAGCTCCCACTTTTCCTTGTTTGGCTCTTATAACTTTGTCAGTACCTGATAAATAGATATAGCGTACACTTGCCAATGTAATACCGGAAGATGTTAATGTATCTTGATTTTCAAAACCCAGAGCTATTTTGCTTAGTTCCTCTTTTGATACCTATAAAAACAGACAAAGATCAATAAGTTCTAATCAAAACGTCTGTTGGTATTTATACAAATTTTATACAATTTAATCTTGAAATTTACAAAAAAAAAAAGATAAATTTTTTAGTTTCATATTATGCTAAATATATTTTTTTCATATTAAAGTTTAAATTTTAAATGCTAGAATTGTATTACCTAAGTATATCTATTTATAGTATACCTAAAAATTAGTTTTAATATTATCATAGGCGCCTAAATTTATAAAATTATGGTTGGATCAGATCAAACTTTGAAACTAAGTTTATTAGTTGTTATAACAGTGCACCCAACCTAAAACCAGATTAACTTTTGGGTGGTTAGGTGGAAGTAATGGTAATGCGACCCATTTCACAAAATAGTTAAAAAAGGAATAAAAGGTTTTAAATTTTTTTTTTAACCTTTTCAGTAYAGAAATAATAATCCATATATTCTGCTGTTTTTGTTTTGTTTCTGCTTTAAAAAAAATTTCAATTGTCCTAACTGTGTTGGAAAAAGTTGAATATATGTTTTATTTTGTTTTTTTTGTCCTATTAGATATTATCGAGGACATAACAATATTACATTCGATAAAAATCTCTTTTTAGTTTTTAAATTATTTAAAATGCCTAAAGATTGACAAAATGACTGCATTAATTCATAATGAAGGAAAATTAAATTATGTTAAAATATTATGCTAACTATGAACATAAGATAAAAGGCATGATTAATATATTAAATTGTAACATTTTTTAACAGTTAACCCCTTGACCCAATATTGAATATATGTCTATATTTCTCAAATATATCTAAGCTATATTATGGATATAATATGAAATAAGTTTAATGAATGGAAATTAAAAATATATAACACTACCTATACTTAGTCGACACCTCAGTACCTAGTATGAAAAAATTAGATGAGGGCTATTAAACTTTTGCAAAGTTACTAGCTCAGGGGAAAACTAGAGTGTTGAACATACCAACGAGTTGGATACATGACACCAATTCTAACCACATCGAGATCTACACGCACTGCTATGTTAATGGTTTTACCACTGTCGCAACCATCATAATGTGYGCAGGTTTTCGGTCGGAAAGCAGTGACATGACAGTAACTTCTTGAAGCATGGGACTCAAGGCTTAGTATAGGCTGATGAGTATGTATAACTGTACATAGGAAAGTCGGAAGTGAAATGTTCATTATTAATAACTAATGAAAGTACATATTAGTATTCAATCTTGCTCTCGGTATGGTCACGGGGTAGGTGTCAATGAAAATACTGTGTCTCGAAAAATGTGTGATGATTATATCGCCGCCACGGGCACACGGTTAACCTAGAACAAACCGTTTATACTCACGTCAAATCCGTCGGACTTGGCCCACACGTTGCCATCATGGCCGGCGATCGCGGCTTTGGTGACGCACCTGGATGCCAGCAAATGTTTGTCGACGTAATCTTGCCAGGATGACATGTTGAAGAAATTAAGGGCGGTTGTTTGTGCGTCGGTTACTGATGTGTGCGCGAATTGGCGGGGGCGGCGGCCGGGAAGCGCGTGGTAACCGGTGATGCGAAAAGTGTGCGGAAAAAAGAAGACGGTCGGGAAAGGAGAAAAAAATAGGACAGAAAAGAGAAATGGGTAGTAATCGTCTCGCACCGGACGGTGATGGCAATTGGCAGTGTGGTGATGCGTCCGTGTTAGTGTGTCGGTGTGTGTGTGCGCGTTTGGTTGCAAGCGTATGTGTGTGTACGACGTACGTGTGTGTTTGCCCGTGTGACTGCGTACGCGCGCGTGTGTATGTGTGCGCGTGTGTGCGTGTACTCGAGTAGGTTACTAATTTGTCCGTCTGCGCGTGCGTCGGCTATCGCTTTGTCGTGTGCATGCGCGTGCGGGCGACACCCGGCGTATGCATTATATAATATTGTCGAGCTATAAGAGATTACTATTGGATGACGGGCGGAAAAAATACAACGACGTACGTCCTATGTAGAGTCCTGTCACATCGCGTCATCGGTGCGCACCGGTGCGTACCGACGCRCGCACCGCACCGACGTCACCGTTCATCGTTTCTACCTCCACATCGTCGTGGCGCCAAAATCAAACGTTCGTCGGCCGACTGCTTATTATTAACGAATATAATAATAATAATAATTTTTCTATTAAGATGTCAAATAAAACACAAATATGTATTCAATAATTCCAATTTTGTGTACCTAGTAATTATACCCTACTACCTTGGGAAATGTTGATTACCTATTGAAATGACGCCACTGAGTAATAAGATTTAATATTAGAGTCAACTGATCTATTTTCAGTTAAGTCTAGTAGTATATCATGGTATTCGAATCTATGTTTTCTCGTGAGTGTTTTACGATATTTCCATAGTCGAGCAAATTATAAATGAGAGTTCTTATTATATTATTGTAATACCTATTTTACATAATTACATAGGTGCCTTCTCATAACTTGTTTTAAAATTAAAATATCATAAAAACATACGACAAAACAGATAATTTCTTTTATAGGGGATCAATTCAATATTTTAACTGTTGAACGCAAAGTTGGTATGCTGTAGGTAGGTTGAAAGACTGAGTAGAATCATAATCATTAGTCAGCAGTCACGTCCTCAGGTCCTCTTAATAATAAGTACCCTTATAGGTGGTATATGTCTATAGGATTATTTCTCCATATTAATACCAAACTTAGTATAATTGATATTAAACTTATGCATTACTGGGATACAGAAAAACTAGCAGCTGTTAAATTATTATTTGGTTTAAACGCAGATTTGAWATTATTTTATTGATTTTTAAAATTTTTCAATTTTTCAATTGTTCATAATAGTCAATATTAATACTATATTAGTAATATTATACYATATTAATATAGTATTAATATTGACTATTATAAACATGTTTGATATCAATGATAATATCTTTTTTTTCAAAACGTTCTTTTTATAACCTATTACACGACGATGGACCACGGACGACACATAGACGAACAGAAGTAACTTCTCTCCTTGACGCCTAGCTGACGGTAGTCACTATAGTCACTACTAAAGTACTAAATACGGCAAATTGAATTAGTGTTCATCAACAACAAATCGGACATCATTATAATAATTAATTAGTAATTAATTCCTTGAAATTTACCCTAATAATCATCCCATTTCACGGTACTTAATACTTTCCTACTGTTAAATACTATGGTATTAATGTATAATATTATGATTTATGGTGCACTGGTGCAGTGCAGTACTGAATATTGTGCATGGTGTGTACCTACGTATTCTTAATTTATACTTGTATATAATATAGAGATTAGAGACTAAACAATGATTTTTACTGTTCTTTGAGATATGAATTAATTGAACAATATTTTTATTGTTTACCTACCTTCTTGKTTTATACACTTATACAGCAATACTTCTATTATTTATTATGTATTTAGTTCTACGCATAGATTATTGGCGCAKAATATGAAAATATTAATATTAGGTTTATCGATTATAATAATCGATTTCAATTTTCAAGGATCAAGTTATCAATAGTCAATGGTTATTGTGGACTACCTGCAGTTACCACAAAAAATGCTTTCTCATATTATAGTTGTTACCAACATTAAGGCTACATTTCTTAATTTAATTTCAAAAAAACTCATAAAATTAAACTATTTAAGAGTACGTAACAGACAACACTACAACAGTGGTATTTGTTATTGTCTCCGTCTTACCAGTGCGTAATATAGCAAATTTATGCTCAGCAGAACACTCGAGCTCCTTTAGTTTAAAAATGACAGTGAATCGACCTACTCCTATTCTATTTGAAGTCTATTTCTTTTTTTCTCAAATTCGTAATAATTGAAAATACCTTCTTTTCACATAAATATATGTGATTGCCTGTTGGAAATATTAGTGTGATTTAAATGGCCTCAGAGGCTAATTTTGCAAAACTTCCTCTGCATAAAGATACCCAAAAATATTCTAAAGAATTTTCATTGAACATTTTTTGAACAATGACAACAGCAGTAATTTATAAAAATAATTTACACAATTTATAGATTAGTTACMTGATCTTTAATCAATTAAAATTCGGCGCACACTTGTATTATCTCAATGCGTGACAACGYTGGGGCCTTAATTACCATTCTTATTTTCTACCAATATTAAAAGTACACTTTACTCGAAAATTATTTTATCCGATCTCATATGAAATAATTTTTTTTTTCGTCATACATATATATAAACATAGTTTTTTAAAATTTTAAACAGTTGTATTATGACCCAATCTTAAAGCTTATAGAACCCAATTTTGGGTCCTATAGTTTAAAGACCACTGATCAACAGAATTATTAAAAAAAAAATTATTTAAGTGATAAAAATGAAAAAGTGTAATTTATGAAATAATATAGTGGCTAGTCAGATCATTAATACAATTATACAACTATCTATATTAAAATTAATCTTGAACAATTTTATTTTATAACATAACAGAATATAAAATAATCAAATTATTTTGTTATACAAAATACATTTTAAAACAAATAAAATTGTCAAATTATCAAATAAACAAGTTGCAATTGATTATTTTGATGCACCTATTGTTGTATATTGACAGATAAAAAATAATTTATAGTAAAATAATAAGTCAACTGATACAGAAAATATAAAAATATAGTTATGATTAATCTTTCATTTTAAAATTTCTAATTTATTTTAAGTGGTTTGGTGTGCCATGTTTTCTATGAGAGAGTACTCACTAATTCACTGCCAACTTCCTCGACGAAAAACACTCAGTGTTTTAGTGGAAAAAACCTTATCACATATACATATGTCGTCAACCGTACTAAATTGGAAACCCTACCATAATCCCTAAAATACTTAATGGGCATAATTGATAGATCAAGACCAATAAAAAAAAAAAATATTTAAAAAAACTTTTTATTCTTTAAATTTATATCACTAGTATAGGATAAAATTAAATTGTTAATAAATAAAATTATACTTTTCTGTTATACATACGTATATATCAGTTATTTCTGTATATATAATAATTTATATCATTATAATAAAACTTGCAATAATCAAATCAAATTATATTAGCATAAAACAAAAAATATTTGATTAAAAACAAGTATAATTTAATTTAATTTAGAATCATAAAATATTTACATTACTGATAAAGAAATTTTACAAGAGACAAGAAATTGATTTAATTAGTTTCAGAATATAATCAATCATAGAGGTGTATAAGAATATGTTGTTAAAATTTGATTGAGTGGATGATCATAAAATATAAATAATAGTAGCAGACATTTTTGTCAAGCAACAAATTATATAATAAATAAWTGAAATATTTCTTATGAATTGATTATTTGATTATTTATTTTGGAATTTTGATTTTCAAATGGTTTTTATTATACATTAATGACGTTAAATTTTTCAATGAACAAAATTGTATTGTTTTAAATTTCTTTAATTTTAAGTTATGTTATTAAATTTATATTGATCATAAGCCCGGCAATTATCACCATTAGCTGTTTGTAAGGGGATGGTTGGTTTGGTACACATAAAACATATTTGGCAAGGATAAAAACCTAAGATGTCACCCACCTGGGTGCTAGTAACAGTCAGTACATATAGTCAGGGCGCTACTGCAGTTGATTGTACAACCACCCCACATAATATTAATTTGCTGTATATTATGTAGTTATTGACGTTTCTTAAAATAATTAAGCATAATGTATTATGTTACATAAACAAAGTTGATTTGTGTATCGGGTAATTTATGAAAAGTTATTCATTTTAAATATTTTTTTTTTATATAAAAACAATGAAGTCAGTGATTGTGTAGTTTAAGGTGACTGAAAAAAATTTAAAACTTGTAAATGTATAAAAATAAAATAGTTATAGTTTTCTAGTTCTTAATACTACTCAAACAACCTTGGAATCCTTAATTTAAATGATTTAACATCTATTATAATTGCAATTTAAAAAAAAAAGATTCACATGTTATAAATTTGATTTATGACAGTACTTAAAGTAAAAATAATAACATATCTTTAATGTCTAATATCTAAAAGTTTTTAATATACATGAATTTTATATGAGTACAACATATTTCAACAAGTATTATTAAATATAATTATGATTAAACCAAATAAGTATTGATTTTCTAAATAATCGAAAAATTTAATTAATATTTGAGTGAAACATGAGTTAATGCCTTTGGTTTAAAAAATCACAAAAATATTGTATACAAATTAAATTGCATATAGAACCAATGATTTTTAACAGTTTTAATGTCAAAAATTGTTTACAGTTATTAAAAATCATTATATTTTCTTTATAAAATTTTAATAACTAAATCAATCAATCAATAAACGAGAAGATATAAAATAATGTATTTTAATTCCTAAAATATGGTAAAAATTATTATATATACAAAGAAAAATAACAATGGTTAATAATAAAATGTTATGACAAAAAGCAAAAAAAAAAAAGTAAGAAAAATGTAATAATTATTTTAAATGTCTAACAATTTGCAAATTTGAACTGTTGCGTAGAAGTCAGAGTCAAAACACTTTTGACATTTAGAGCCAATACTCCATGTAGGCCGTGTCGAGGGTAACACCATTGTCTTTTTGTCCACTTTAGATGWTATGTACTTCTTTTTCAAAGTATCCATCATGAATTTCAAGTCTACCATAGCGGATGGAATTTTTTTGATGTACTGCAACAAATTAACCAACTATTTTAAACTAAAATTTAGGACATTTTTTCCATACCGACATTTCTCTGAATTTTAGTATAAGGTAAGCATAATTTAAGGGATGGGCTGTTTATGAAATTAAAAGCTGATTTGTTTATGTTCATTTACATTTATATCTCCAAAAAAATTGGTATTTCAATAACTAATATATTAATCAAGCGCTAATCAAATAGTTAAATAGTTGATTTAGTTATATAGCAATTCATCATTATGAAACTTCTGTTATAAAAGTATTTTCTAACATTATAGTGTATGATATAAACAAAAAGGCTTAAAATACACAAAAGCTGTTTTATAATGAAGGATAATTTTTATGTATTTAAAATTAATGATACAGTATTATTCGGATACACAATTAATGTTAATTTGTGTATTTTTTAATCAAATATAATAATTAACATTAGTATGRGAGTCAGTAATAGTTTTGTATGAATATGATAACTTTAAGAAATCTCTGCATTTAGTTGAAGGCTAATTCAGCCYATTTGGAAAGACATAATAATATAAGGATGCTACACTTGTTCTATATTACAAACCCACGACATTGCAATTCAACATTTTGAATAATCCAATTAACTCTGTTATATTAAAAAGGATTTCAGCAAATTTTTTATGTTCTCTCTCYGTCCCACTTGCAACAMAGAGAAGTTGTGTTTCGCCGAACCAGCTTTATACTGATAGATTTAGACATTTAATATTAGAGTCAATTTATTGTCAAACCTAAAGTAATGAAATTGGGTGTGTTCTTATGTTGGATTTATTAAAATATTTATTTTATAACATCAAGACATAGTTTTCTTGACTGTAAGTTAGATAATAGGTCAATTTACTAAAGCTAACAAGACAATTTTGAATCTACTGAACATAAATTATTTTACCTATGGGACAGAGAGAGCTATTACATACTCTTAAYATTTGAGCTGAATTGATGTTTTATAAAATACTCACTTCAAATTAAAAAAAAAAAAACTAAGAGATTCACAAAAAAATATTCATACATTTAAATTTGATAATAAATTAATCTACTTTAGTATAAAACAAAACAATGTTAAATTAATAATTCATTATATACTATTATTGATGCCATGCTTTTATAAAACGAAGACAATGCACGCATGTATAGTATCCTCTTAAATTATATAAGATTAGAAATACTAACAAGTTTTTTTTCCGGGTCTTGTAGGGCTATCCAAAGCCAAGTAGCAATTGAACAATACAATTTTTTTGAGCTGATTTTTCCACAACATGTCTTCATCATTTTGATTAGGTCTTTTACCATATCAGCATTCACAGTTCTCTACAACAATATAATATAACTTATAGAAGGATGTTGAGGTGAATGTTAATCAAAATCAATAGTACACAAAGACAGAGCCTTTCTGATTATAAAAAAACTCTATTACAATGATTTACAATAACCAAAATATGGATAACTCTTTAAGAACTCACCACCCAGATGTGCCAAGAGGTTTCATGATACTTAAGTAAATTTGTCAGCACACGGATTGCTGGCTCTCTTGCATCAATACTTGGTTGTGACTGATTGGAATAATGCAAAAAGTGAAATATGCTGTCCACAATTATACCTTCTGATGTCTTCAAGCATAGCTCTTTGGATAAAGTTGTACATGTATCTAAAATTAAAACATTGTATTAACAAAATCCATGAATATGATATATAGCAAAGATCAAATTATTGAATATTTTGTTTTTTCATTTAATTAATTAAAATTACTGGTAAGTGCTATCAAAAAAATAAAGACACTGTAGCACAGATAAAGTTTTTCTCTTGTGTCGTTGAATGTCAGTAATTCTACTATAATTAAWGAGGGAGTAAAGTTGTCCCGCGAAAAATAGTTTATGCTACGTTGGGACAGGGACAACTTAATATGCAGATGTGGCGTCTTCTTATTACAAAATTATTAGTATAAGTTTTATAGTATAGTTGTTTTTAATCAATTTCAGTTTTAGCTATAATTTTGTTTGTCTGCAGTATATACTACCTAAGTTCCAGAAAACTGTAGCGAGTTCTCGATAGGAATACTCATTCCTTCTTTGCTTGTTCAATACATCAACCACGTCATTGTGTCGTTTTCCCAACGTGAGGGCACTTTTTGAAGGAATTCTAATTGTTTCTCGTCTACATTGATATCTCTTTCTTACAGTATAACCTCTCCATATGGCCTGTTAAATAATTTAATTCATCTTTAATCACACATTCATCTATACTTGGTTGTAATATTGAATGAATAATTMATATTTTTAATTTACCTGTATCAAAGTTGCAGCTCGTACAAGTTTATGATTATGTAATTCTTCCTTAATCTTTGGTAATTTCTTTCTTACCAAAAATCCTCTGACAAAAGCTTGTATTATAGACGCAGCAACATTCTCTTTCTGTAAATGTTTACGATTTGACATGACATTTCTGGTCCAAATTTGTAACTGTATGGCAGCTCGCATTTCCATTTTCAACTCAAATAAGAATGCATGGCCAGCTAACRACCTTTTGCACTGTGTATATTTAAATCTTATAGAACAAAACTTTCGCACAATTTTGAAAAGAATAGAAGACTTTTTTCAAGATAAAATGCGATATGCAAGACAAGCAGAAGAGAACATAACACTCAATTACTTAGAGCAATAGTTATAATGCGAGCTGCCATGTTAATTTACACCAGGCTGCACACAGAAAGGAAAATTGTCAAAAAAGAAAATATTAATAACTTACCTCAAAAGTGTCAAACGCTAGTCTACGTTTAGCTTCCATACTATCTTTCAACTGAGGCCAACGTCTACGCGCCAAGTATCCTCTAATATGAGTCTGCAATACAATTGCAGATTTCTTCAAAAGCTTATATCGCTCTTTTTGTAACAACATGGCCTTATGTGCTCTGTAATGTCTTTGTATTATGATCACACTATCTTTTAATAATAAATATTCTCGTTCGGCTGATTTCATAGTAACAACAGCCCGATATCTCGCCTGGATGTACACAACAGCCTGTCTCAGTTTGATATATCTTAAACGATCAGGAGTAGGTGATAAACAATGGCGCAGGAACTTTTTTATAGTATTACTAGCAGCAATCAATTGTTTCTTATTAGCTTCTAACTTATATTTGATTTCTGGCCATTTTTTGAGAACCAAATATCTTCTAAAGAATGCTTGTAGTCGAATAATTTTTGCTCTGGTGTTTTTATAAACAAGTTTTTGTTGTTTCATAGCCACATTGGCCCTGAATCTTCTTTGAATTACAATAACATTGTTACGCAGTATCTGATATTCTTTCATTTGTTTATTGGCTCTAAATCTACTTTGGATAAGAGTAGTGGCTTTCCTTAGCTCAAGAAATTTTAAACGGTCATTATTAGCTGGAAGATTTTTTCTCAGAAGTCTTTTAATTATATTACTACAATTGATCAAACGTTGACGTTTTAGTATTAACTCACTTCGTAGGGCTGGCCATYGATTTCTTAATATATATCCTCTAGCCACACTCTGCAGTTTAACAGTTAATGTTTTTATTTCCAGATAATTTTGTCTTTGTTGCTTCATTTCCTTCAAAGCACGGAATCGTGTTTGTACAACAATAACAGACCTTTTTAAATCAAGAAATTGAACACGGTCTTCTGTCAATGGAAGATTACTTCTAAGAGCTCTCTTAATAATGTTACTACAAATTATTAAACGCAATCTATTAGCTTTTAACTCAGCGTGTAATGCAGACCATTGTTTCCTCATAATGTAACCTCTAGTTACAGCTTGTAATTTAACTGCACACATTTTAAGTTTTAAATAGTGATTTTTTTGTTTAACCATTGCTTGTTTTGCTCTAAATCTTTGTTGTATAACTATTGCACTTTTTTTAAACATAATAAATGCTTTCATCTGTGCTTTCATCAAATTATTTGCCCTGAATTTTCTTTGAACAGCCAATGTATAATGCAATAATTTTCTATAATACAGTAAGTCTTCAGTAGGTGGTAAGTTCTTTCTGAGAAAGCGTTTAATTACGTTAATGGAATTAGTTCTGTTCATCTTTTCTATTATAAGGGAATTTTTTATTTGCGACCAGTTTTTTCTTGTTGTATAACCACGATACATTTTTTGAATAAGTAAAGCTGACTGTTTAGCTTTTATATATTGTTGTCGATCTCTTTTCATTSCAATTTTGGATCTAAATTTTCTTTGAACAAACACTGTAGTTCTTCTTAAAATTATAAAATGTTTTCGATCTTCTGTTAAAAGTTTAAGTTTATTTTGTAGGTATTGTTTGATTTTAGTTGACGCTAGATGTAACTTTTCACGGTTTTTTATCAATTCTGCTTGTTCATGTGGCCAATGTTTTCTAGTCAAATAACCACGAACACAAGCTTGTATTTTAGTAGCAGCCAAGTGACGTTTAAATGTCTGCTTAGCTCTAATCCTTTTAATGATAGCAAATTTTAGGGTATTGTTTCGCCACCAATGTTGAATTGTTTTTGCTGCTTTATTGTATCGAGGAGTTAAATACTTATAAATTAATTGCCAGAATAATGATAACATTTTTTCTCTGTGACCATTCACAATGTCACGAGTACTAATATTTCCTTCGATACTAATATGTTCAGATATCCTTGTTAATGCTAAATTTACATTGTGAATTTTCTGCAGTTTCGATATAGCGGGAAGTCTTAGTTTGTGCGACAGTGGTTCTCCTTTGAACAAGATTTCTACGACTTTAGTGATTCTGGTACCATCTCTAAGATCATTTAATGATTTGACTGCATAATTTACTTCGTCCAGATGGGTTTGTTTATGGGTCAAAATATAGCCGATACTACGTAATCGACGATTTATGTCTCCATTTGCTGTTACCATGTCAGCACAAAATCCCATCAAGAAGTCTTGGCTACTCTGTAAATAAAAAAAAAAAATTGCTTTGTGATAAACTATATCATATCAAACAAGATTAATTCACTCACTTTAAAAGGAGAGTCTATTTTGAAAAGACAAGGATTATGTCTGATAAGTTGCTGTTCTTTGGCGCGGTCCAAAAAATATACAAGCATAAATATTTTTTTCAAAATAAATTTTTTCATGGCGATCTGCAATATGAAACATTTTTTTTTCAATAATAAATAAATAAATTTCAAATATTTTTCATTACATTGTAAGAGGGAAGGTTCACTTGAAGAACAGTAGCTTTGGTGAATTTTTGTTTAATGAAATCATTATTAAACAAATTTTTGCGTATAAACCATCCAACTCCATCTAAGTCATGAGATCCAGGATTTATGTGAATTAATTGACCATACACTGCTTCCAAACCAATTCGTAACCACAGAGGATTAAAGCATTTTAACAAATCCGTAATTTTTTTCTTTAAATCTAACAAAATACATTATAACTATTAACAATAAAAACAATTTTAACCTTATACAAAATCTCACTTAAATCCAAATGTATTTGACGATCATCTCGAACTGTAATGAAATCTTTTTCTATTGATACAGCCAACTTTGATAAAACAGTTGCGACATTTGTAGATGTAATAAGATTTGATGTTGCTTTCCGTAATGCACTCCATTGTTGGGGACACTGCTTGTATATTTGTGATACAAACAGATCTTTCTGGGTAGCAAATTGCATAGGCTTATTTCTACGGTTTGTCTTGGATGCCTCTTCCCAAGCCATTGCTGCTTGMTCCAAGTCATCTTGTTCTTCATCTGCCAATTTATCAGTAGGCATAAGCAGTGCATTTAACCATCGAATCATATCAGATTCTTGACGATCCAACCATTCAGCTTCATAATATTGAGACCTAAAAATACATATAATAGTATGTACTGTATTTATGCCCACAATCAATTAAGTTATACATTCAAACACAAACAAACAATCAAATTATGATTTATTAATTATAAAAATAAGTTATGTAAATTAGATTGTACTTCAACATACATTTTTAAAAACGGATCTTCAGCATTATTGTGATACACAAGTTCTGGATTTGCTAAGCATTTGAGGTATTGATCACATTTATCCAATTTTGGAGTTTTCAAATGTTTAGTCCGTGGACTAAGAATGCCTAAGAATAGAATTGTTAGTAGATACATTTTTGTAATAACACAATATTCATATCATTTAATARGTAAACAAGAATATATTTAATATAAAAAAATAATAACTTACTATATTGCTTCAATCTATTCTTAGAAATTAATGAAGATTTTGGGCTACATTTGTAATAAGGAGAATTTTTTAAAACAAATGACGGTCTCTTTGGCTTAGTACTGCTTGAAATAACCCCTAAAACATGAAAAATAATTAATTCTAACTTAAAGGTATTGAGTAATTTTGTTAGTCAATCTTAATTACTTGTATGATGTGTAGGTTTACGAGTAGTAGTCCATTCATGATTTTGCGACATGTTAAAGGATTCTTCAAGTTTTAGAGGCAATTCAAATTGTTTTGAGCTGATATTTTTAATAAAAGTTGCACCATCTATATTTGATTCATTTTTTGGTATTTCTTCAAATTTCTCACAAAGGTTTACAGATACTCTTGTCGGTTTTCTATTATCAGGAGTGTAAATCTTAGCTGCAGTTGAAGCATCTATTGGCTTAAATGGGGATGTGTTAAATGAAGTAAAAGCCATGTTTTCATCAGCTATATCATAAGTTATACATTTTTTCGTGATACTGAATGGAGAAATCAAGTTTTCAGTACTTTTCAATGGAGTCAAAAAAAAGTCATTAAATGGAGAATTAGTGCTAATTAATTTTTTGGGTGATTCATCTAGTGAATCATCTGTCATTAAGTCACAATTAGTATTTTTGGTATTAATGTGATTATTGAATGTGGTATATTGATACTTTCCATCTGAATGTTTAAAACAGTGTTCAAAACTATTGAAGGTTGTGTCATAGTCAATCATGTTATTTTCCGAATTCCGAATATTTTCTTTTTCTCCAACTAAAAAGGTTTGCCGCCTCATGGGCGATTCTAAAATTTCTGCACGAAGAGGTTCAGATATTTTTGTGGAATTATCAACTAAAACAACTCTTTCTGATGCACTTTTAACAAATTTAGTTTTATTCAAAATTATTTTGTTCTGCCCACCATTAAATTTATTTTTTGCTGAATTTGAATTTTTGGACTTAGTTAATGTTATAGAAGAACCCTAAAAAATATTGAATACAAATCAAAATTATAAAATATTGAGTTATTGAAATAAAAAAAAAAACAATGAGGATAAAGCTATAGGTACAGAAAAATCACTGGTAGCTTACTTTTAATTTCTTGCGTAAAGGGTCGATACAATTTCCAAAAATAACAAAATCATATTTTCTGTTGTTATCTACTTCTTCTATTTTAATCAATTTGCGCATGTTTCCATACACACATGGTTGCCAAGTAATTGATAGCTTACGTTGTGAATTTGGTTGTAAAGTGAATTCATAAACATCAAAATGTATACCATCATTTGCAGAAGGTAAAACAAACTGTAAAAAATTTATTTGAATAATATAACCAATAAGAATTTTATTTTATTACATACATTTTAAAAATAGGAGTATTATGTATTATTACCTGTCTAGGTTTGTTAAGCAAATTAACAACTGTCAGAAATCTAATGGCCGTTTCTTTAATTCTTATATTTGAAAATTCTACTTGAGTCTGCTTTTGAAATGGTGCTAATACCAAATAATACTCAAGTACAGTATTTTCCTCATCTTCTTGCTTTGATTTAAATTTCACAGGAGGTGAAAATTCAGTCTAAAAGCAATTAAACAATTAAGACAATTTTATCCTATTCAATTTCAAGTATGACTTGTTTAATTTTTTTTTTTAACATGAAAATGTGAGGGAAGAAGCCATTCAGTGAAAGCACTACCTATTTGTTTATTAATAATTTTTTATTTTATATAATTTTAATTTATTCATTTAGTAAATCTCGACACCATTTTCTTTTCAGTTGTCGTGTGGGATTGCCTGGAATTGTGCAAGAAGATATGGAAGCTATAATAAGATATAATAGCATAATATTGGATATAMGGGGATTAGGATGATATGGAAGTCTGTTATAGAATCTTTTGTAATATGTTATTGCTTTATCGTTCAAACTATTTGAAACTCAAACCTAACTATCACACAACTTTTACCATACGAAAATCAAACTTGAAATATTTGTTGAACTAGACTTAATACCCACAATAATTTAAAGACCATATATTTGTACAATTCAAAAGTTATTTAAAAAAAACAAAAATTGATAGTGATTATTTAGAAATAATTAATTAGTGATAATATTTTATATACTTTTTGAAAATTAATAATATGTTGAGTTTGAGTTCAACTGAAACTGATTCTAGGTTTGGTTTGGATTCAAAAAAGTTCAGTTCAATTTAAAAAATCAGAGGTCGACCCATCATTATTCATTTTAAATTTTTATAGTAAAATCATAAAAATAATTGGGCAAGCTTGTTAAATTAAAGATTTCTTTTGGTGATTTAAGTGACTAAGATTAGATAATAACCTTTAATGTTACATAGCCTTTTATTGCTTTACTTAATAGTGATAAGTAGGGTCGATATTTTTAAAATTTATACAATGGGTTTATTTTATCAATTCCTATACTAGATRAAATTTCCAAAATATTTCATCAATTTTTAAGTTATTTATAGACATTTGAAATTTGAATATTTTTCTTTTGATGAAATTATATACTAGATAACCAAGAATAACAATTTTTATGTTTATTGTAATTTAAAAATGTTATTTACGGGAACTTAAAATTTCTAGACAAGAGATGGCAAACCTATGGCACGTAAGTCACTCTGTGACACGCGCACACTATTTAAGTAACACACACAACAACTGTGTAAAAGTTTGTCACCAAAAATCACTGGTCATAGGACGTAGACTAATATTAATTGAGATTACAAAAATAAAATATTAAGTTTATGGTATTATACCTAAACATATTGAATTGAATATCTAAACGGCTCAACAACTATTAATTTTATTACTTTTCAATAAGAACTTTATTAGGTATATATTTATATAGCGGATATAATATGTAAAACTGGTCCATGGTAAGCGTTAGTCATTACTCATTTGTCGAATCGAATGTGTTTTATGTGTTAAATTTTATCGTTGCCTTTGATTTGTCTGAATGCATCGTTTTGGCAGTTTTCAATATTGGTGAGTGTTATTTTTATAATAATTCAAAGGTTACATTTTTTAATAAAATATTATATTTTTGTAGAATTCATGAAATCAAAAAGTAATAGTGGGAGATCATTTCATGAACAATGGACTATAGATTATGGGGTAGTTCAAAAAAATAATAAAGTGTTAAGTTGTTAATGTAATGAAACAGTAGTCAGCTGCAGTTTTAATGTAAATAGACATTTTTAGACAATTCAAAGGAATTTATTTTCTTTATCAACTGAAGAAAAATAGGAATTAATTTTGCAAAAATTGAAATGTTTTAAAAATCAWTCAAATAATTTCAAAGCTGCGTTTAAACCAAATAATAATTTAACAGCTGCTTTTCTGTATTCCACTGTATTGCACAGCATGGTAAGCCAGTTTCCGATGGAGAATACATATTTGAAGAAATAAATTTATTAATTAGAATAACAAGCTGGAAAATAATCATATTGAAATTGGTAGGAATGTTAAATCCGAGAATTTGATTCTTAATGAGTGGAAAAGTTTTCCATATTCATTTGCATCAATAAAATAACTAGCTTTTTCTTTATTGACAATGTTTGGATCTATTTAATGGGTATGACTGTATGAGCAGCTTTTTTCATTAATGAATTTTATTAAGTCAACTATAAGGAATTGTCTTAGTACAGATTTAAGTGGAGCATGTGTTCAACTAAAATTAAACAATTACAGTCCAAGAATTGATTCATTAGCCAATAAAATGCAACAACTAATTTCTAATTAAAAATGCATGTATAACAATTTTATATTTTAAAATTTCAATATTTTTTATTTTTAATAAAATAAATTTTTTTAACATATTTATGTGTTACTTATATTTTTAGTATCTAATATACTTAAATTGTTCGATAATGTAATATTTTACTTGATTTTTATCATTCAAACCATGGATGTAGGAATTTTTAAGTATTAAAAAACGGTTATCAAACTAGTTGATATGCAGGGAAAACAAAATCCAACCAACATTTTTATTTGACACACTGGTACAAAAAGGTCCACCATTCCTGTCCTAAATTGACAAATCGTCTCCGCTCAGAATCATTTTTCTAATACATCGAAATCATTGAATTCCAATTTAAAACAAACCATTATAGTAACCCACTTGTACATCAGAGTGACATTCACTTACCAACCCTATTTTATTTTTGTAGATTTAAT